AATCCTTCAGTTTTGTAATTCCAAACACAGGCTTCCAATACCTGCACACTACTTCCAGAGTTTCTCACTTCCAACCTTTTGGTTTCGGTGTTTGTTAGCAAACTAAACACTACTTTTAACAGATACTCCCTGCTTCAATATCTTACACTTATAGCCTCCACCACTTTCCATCTCCACGTCGTTTTGATCCAACATACCTCCAACATTCAAAAACTAACTACACCAATAGAATGGCTAGATTCTAGCGACATGTTTTCCCAAATGATGACCCAATATAGGTTATGGTAGTGTTGCTACAGAAGGTATCTAGAAACAGTAAAAACCTTGTTCATTCTTTCAGTGGAAGATGAAGAACGAGTAAAAAATGAAAAGAAGAATAAAGGGGTGAATGAGAGAGGAAATAAAGTTGGAAAAAAATGGTACAGCTCTCATGGGCGGAACTAGAAACTTAAGAGGGGCAAATTTTTACATCCTAACGTTCTTTACATATAATCTTTTAACACAAACTAGGAAGGGCAATTGGTCTCCTTCCATATTGGCTTGCCTACTGTCACCTCTAATAAACAAATGTTTTCAAATGCGTAAGAATGAATGTGTATGCACGCAGTGAGATGGGATAGTAGAAGAAATGTTAACATCCACAACCGGTTCAAAATATGGATACCTCACCGCTATCCAGTACATAATTCCTTTTCAAAGTTTCTCCGAGAACCATGTCAAACAATACGCTTATTATTATGTTCATAAAGTTCCAAAGAAGTTGAAGGTAAGAAAAGAAGCAAACTACTAAGGAAATTTAGAAAATTACAAAATCAATAGTTTAATATACAAAGAAGATAGGGGAACTACAAACTAGATTTAAAACATTGAAATCACATCATCTGAAGAACGGTACTAAGAAAGATTCATTCCAACACGGATAGAAGCGTAGGAGTTAGCTAACAGAATGCTGCTTCTATAAATTTCCTAGCGATTCTCAATGGCAACCAAAGTAATCTAAGAAGGGGAAACAAACATAAATCCAGAGCTAAAACGTCTTGAACATTAGGAGCAATATGATATAAAAGGCATCAATGCCGGTCGTACGATCTTCAATCGTTTGGATCCGTCATGCACGAATATATGTCATAAGAATCAATAAACATTGCATGCGCGAGGTTCGAACAAAAATTTAAGAAGGAATAATCTCATCGTAACGCTCAACAACCAAAAATTTCACGAAGCAACCTTCTTTCGCCGATCCGTCCAATAATAGCAAAAAACATCAAGAGTCCGAACACAATGAAGAACAAATAGAAGCGAGATTGAAAACGGAAAAATATAGATCTATTAAATTGGATGCATACTTAATCTAACCAGATCCGACGATGATGTTGTTGATCGGAATAAAGATTAGCTTCACAAAGAAGCCTACGAATCCCATCACAACGAAACCGATGGCGGTACGAACGGCAACCTTGGTGAATTCTACACCACCACAACGTTGAATAAGTAAAATTGAAACAAAAAAACAAAATCTATGACATCGATTAAATCAGATCCATGCAATACAATATCAAAGAAAGAAACATACCTTTTCGATCGGGTTTGTGACATCTCTTAACGAGACGAACGCTGTCCTTGGCGAACTCTCTGAGAGGATCAACGACAGAATCTACGGCATCCATTACTCCTTGTTGCGAAGGGAACGTCAACAGATTAATCGAAATGTTCACCGAAATTTGGTTTCGCGTTTGATGGGGTTATGGCCGCGTGGAGGATTAAATACTTTGAGGCTCGCGCTGCGAGATTAGGGATTCATTGGGTCAAATTTGATAGACTGTCACAATATTTGAATTCCCGGAAATACCCTTGAATCATCGGCTACGGTGGGCTTCTTTGGGGCTAAAGTATGGTAAATAATGATACGAAAGATTAAGATGAAATAACAAAAAAAAAAAAAAAAATTATATATATAAAATAAAAATCACCTATGGTCAACGGTCATGGAATTAATGTTTAGACTTTAAATTTATACTGATTTACTTCTTAATGTGAAAATTATTATTCAAATTTAATGAAATTTCTATAATTAGAACTTTAATAGTTATATAAGTTATAAAGTCAAAATCATTAAATAAAAAAAAATTTACATTTAATTTTTTTTGTAAAAGGTCTAAGTACCATAAATAATAATTTTTTTAACCACTCCTACTTCTACTCTCTTATTAAGGGTGTGGAAACCTTAACCTAATATACATGGTTTAAAACTGTGAGCCTATAACAATACGTAACGGACCAGAACGAACAATATTTATTAGTAGTGGGCTTGGGTTGGGTTTTATACGAATGGTTTCAAAGCCAGACATCGGATGATGTGCTAGCGAAGACGCTGGCTCCAATGGGATGGATTGTAAAATCTCACATTGGTTGGAGAGGGGAACGAAGTCAATTGGGGAGGGACATGGGGGATTTCTTATAAGGGTGTGAAAACCTCTCCCTAGTAGATGCGTTTTAAAACTGTGAGATCGATGACGTTACCTAACAAGCAAAAGCGGGACACAGATAGTGACTAGAATGCTCGTCTGAATTCAGTTTGAAAAACCTGACATTCAGACGTGTATTTTCACTTCAAGGGTAGTTTTGAAACATTAGTCAAATGTCAAAAATAGTAATACAACTTTTGGAAGATGTCTTAACCAATGGAACCGAGCTGAACTCGAGCTCATCATACATATGAGCTCATCAAGTGTAGTGACTACAAAGGAATGGGAAGAAAACAAAGAATATAGAAGAAACAAACAGGATTTGGATTAGTCAACCATAGATTCAAAGGTTGGAGAATACCAATCCAACTCTTCTATGATCTTCTTCATTCGTTCTTCCTGTCCTTTGGAGTCCCCTAAAGCAGTTGTGAAAGGATACACATAAGTCACTTTTGCTGCCATTATCCTGTAAGCAGCCACATCTCCTCTCACCAAAAACTCAATCACATCTCGCCCAAAGTTCCCATCAACCTCAGCTTCCATGTACTGGCCTGTGATAATCATGAATGCATGTTCTTGTATAAGGATCTCTATCTTATGCGTTACGCTCGAGATATTAACATGAGATCTATACGAGAGGAAGTGACATCCCATGGGATTCAAGCTAAATTGTACGAAATTTATGTCTTCTAATAAGTTCTTGAACTACACAAATATCTAATAGGCTTGTGAGCTTAATAGGTAAGGAACTCTATCTTATGCGTTAGGCTCGAGATATTAACATGAGATATACACGAGAGGAAGTGACGTCACATGGGATTCAAGTAAAATTGTACGAACTTTATGTCTAATAAGTTCTTGAACTACAAAAACATCTAATAGGCTTATTGTAACAACCCAAACCCACCGCCAGCAGATATTATCCGCTTTGACCTGTTACGTATCATCATCAACCTCACGGTTTTAAAGCACGTCTGCTAGGGAGAGGTTTCCACACCCTTATAAAAAATGTTTCGTTCTCCTCTCCAACCAATGTGGAATCTCAAAATCCACCCCCTTGGGACCCAGCGTCCTCGCTGGTACACCTCCCAGTGTTTGGCTCTAATACCATTTGTAACATCTCAAGCCTACTGCTAGCAAATATTGTCTGCTATGACCCATTACACATTGCCGTCAACTTCACAGTTTTCAAACGCGTCTACTAGGAAGAGGTTTCCACACTCTTATAAGGAATGTTTCATTTCCCTCTCCAACCGAGGTGGGATCTCACACTTATGAACTAAAAGTGATTTTGTATTTAATAGGTAACAAACAAACTTTTGCTTTTGTGCCAAATGTACATGATTTTCAAGACTTTCAAAGTGTAAACACAAACTTAAAATGTGAACCGTTCCATTCATTAGACACTTTTTACCGTTTAGAAACTTATGAGATGTCACCTTGAAAGTTTAAGGACCTATTAACTACGTTTTGAAGTGTTTCAGGATCAAAACAAGGATTCACTTCTGTCACTATGTCAAAACACTACGAAATTCAAAAGAATAAGCCAGATGAGTTGGCTCACTAATAAACAGAGTCCATTCTCATCTCTATCTCAGCAGTTCAATTAGAACATAGGGAGGTATATCAATTTGTAATGTAAATTTCAAATAAACTATTGATAATTTCAGTTCAATTACCATATGGGGTATCTTCCACCATCTGAATCTTTGCATTCCTCTGCGTTTCAAGGATCACTTCCTGCAGCTTCTGCAAATAAACGAAGTAGAGCAGAATCATGAAAGACAACACTATAAGAAGCCACTAACGTAAAACAACATTCAAGCAAGTGATACACAGCTTTAAGAGAACTAAAACCTGAATCGGATTCCCAGTAAAACTCTCAGGAATGCTTAAAGGGAAAGCAAACGATGACGATTTGGGGTTTGTAGAAACACACGACGGATTGATTGAAGGACAGGGTCTAATCTTCCTGCAATATCAAGAAAACATTTAGCTAAATTATCAATGATTCAGTTAAGAAAACGAATGCAAAATTAGGGCAGAAAGAAATTAGCGACAGTACATGCTGTGAGCGAGACAATCAAGAGAAATTACAGAAGAAATGCAGAGATTAACGAGAAGAATTGAGAGCGTACCCGTTTTCAAGTCCGATTGGGAAGTCCTTGGATTGAGAAAAGGGAGTGGTGGGAGAAAGGGGAGAGGAGAGGGAGTTGAAGGAAGGGATTGCGAGGGAAGGAAATGGCGACGTAAGGGTTATTGAGAGGGCGAAAGAAAGGAGATGAGAGATGAAAATTGGTTTGTGGTTTGGATTTGGAAGAGCCGCCATGGAAGGAGGAGAGGTTCGATTGAGGACGGCTGAGAGGAACTGGTTGTTGTTGTTGTTCTTCTTCCATGGCGAAACCAGGGCGGGGCGAAAATGGAGCGAACTCATGTTTCGTTCTGTTCCTCAATCGCATTGCCGCCTATCCACGTAATTGAGATAAGCTAAAAATAAAATAAACTTTTAAATTTAAATTTAAAGTTAAATGAATTGTCGATATGTTCGAGTGGTTAAGGAGACAGACTTGAAACCTGTTGGGCTTTGCTTCCGCAGGTTCGAATCCTGCTGCCGACGATATTTGACCATTTTTTAGCCTACGAAAGAAAATTTCATTAGAACATATAACAAAGGCGTGAATGCGAGAATGAATACGATACCATAAGGAGGAATTCATCGTTCTTTCAAGGTCGTCCCTCTCATCGTGAGGAATTCCATTGTCTCATCACTTGAAGATAGTTTTGAGAAGGAGAAACAGCATGAGAAAGATGCAGTGGAGTTCGTCTCAGAATCAAAAAACCAAATAGGGTAGAATTTCACACTGATCTTACTAAAGAAGTGAGAAAGTGATCCACGATGGGTTGCGTAACGATCTCAAAATAGAAGTTTTTCGCCTTTCTTAAGATAGCGCAGAACGTCTTTTAGGGCCAATTCACATATATACATATATATATATACATACATACATACATACATACATACACATGAGCGAGGCAGGGTTGAGAACGAGGAATAATTTCTTCCTATTTCATTCCTTATTTTGGCTTGAATAGAGCTTGTCTCTACCGGTTAAATAGACATCTCTACTTTCAAGATATTTAAATTAAATAATAATTTATTTATTTATTTATTAAATAATATAAATTAAATTGAAAAGGTATTATTTGATATTGATTATTTTGAAAATAAAATGTATGATAAAGATCTTCGTACATTCTAAGCTAACCCATTTTGGCATTTTCAAATAATTATATGCTTTTTTTGTGTGTGAATATTTATTTTATTATATGCCACATCAATTCTAAGCTCGGTTGTCATAATTTGAGCTTATAATAAAAATGCTCCAAAATTTATGTTCTCATAAAGTAGAGGACACTTGTCGACCCGTTATTGGGCCATTTCTTAATTCATGACAGGTATTCGACAATTTTAATAATCTTTGCATATGTCCTATCAAATATAAGTCTATATTACCCATAATTTTCTTCTTTACACTCATTTTTTTTTTTATTGGATTTGAATTTATTCGAAACAAAGATAAGATAAAGATTAATAATAATGTGTGGAAAATAATAAATTATTTAATCCTAATATTTTGCTAAAAAAAGGAAATATAAATGGGATGGAAAGTTATAAGTCTCCGTTAAAAATGTTCATTTAATTTATGTGTGCTTGTATGTTCAATCGTTTTCGATTTTAACCGACTTGCATCTACACTTGGACAAGTCATACAACTCAACGTTGCCTATGCTCTAAGCCAAAGTCTCTCGTAGCAACGTCGCATCTCATCTCGTCATCATCTTGATTCCCAACAATATGGCTCACACATCGTGATGTCATTCCATGTCTGGAGATGGCTTCAACCTTCATAGCTTGATTGGTTATGTTTATCAAGAATAAGCTCATGTGTCAATCATATCGCCAGGGCATCCTAGACATCCAGGTTATATCGTGACACGAACCCTCTTGTGTCCATACACAACCACTTACAAACTCTATACTGAATAGCGAGTGCATATACTACCTCCGACACATGGCTGGGGGCGTAATTTCGGAGCACTCGTGTCGTCTGACACTGTCCTTGAAAAACCCATTTCAGAGGAAACCGCTGGGGACGATCGTCTCGCAACGCTCGCCCATGTTGTGATAAACATATGTGCCACAAGATAGCTCGCTTAGGCTAAAAGGTCCAAGGGTGATAGAGACTTGACACTATACCTAGTCTATTTTGAGACATTTTCTCTTTTTTTTTTTTTTTTTTTTTAATAGACATGATTTTAGCAAGTGGTCATACAGTCTCGTAAAGCATTTGTTGGGTGTCCAAAAAAATAAAACTTGGTGACCTTTCATCTTTTATATTGACGGACTTAACTTCAGAGTCACATATCAAAACTTTGACTTTTGAGGTTATGGTTTAGGACCCTACTCGACCCTCTCCAACACTTGCTTAGCCTCAACTTGGCTTTAATGCACGCTCTTTTTAGTATATATCGTCCTTCTCAGTCGCATCATGACACTCACGTGATCAAGTGGGCGTTAAAAGGTCACCACTATATCGGTCTGCATGTAGGAATCACAACTTACTGTCTTCATAATATAATCATGATATTTTTTCCCACTTAAACTAGTCATCGTCTTCAATGACATACTCAGTGACACAATAGCATCGTATTGGATTGTGACACGTGGCGCCACCAAATGAATAGATAAAGACACCATCAACGGCCCACATACTTTTTGTAATATTTGAATTGGAACCGCATAGCCCAATCAAAATTTGTAACGTTGGAATTTCCTTTTGAAGAAAAAATGAAAAAAAAAAAAAAAAAAAGTTGATCTAGTGGGATTGAATTTACATTTTTTATTTTGTGGTCTAATTTCGATGATGGGTTGAGCCATCACATCATACGATAATGACGTGTCACTCTTTCATTCGCGCTCGTAAAAACTCATACATATTTCTAATTTTAGTAAACTAATGATATTGGATTTATTTTTAAAAAATAAATTATTAATTATATATTGCTATCTCGACTCAATTATAAAATATTTTAATTGAGTTAATATATAAATATGAGACAATATCTTTATTGGTACGAAGATTTTTTAAAAAAATAATTTAATTTAATTCAAAATGAATCAGGTTGATAGGATTTTTTAGATCACCGAATCTTTTTAAACGCCTCTAAATCTAATTTAAAATTAGATCGAACGAGTATATATTCTATTATCTTCTTTGGTATGATAAGAATATTAGAGAATAAAGAATAATAATTATTCTTCTTCTTTACTATGATTCGATACGAGAATTTGATAGGTTGATGTCAATTTTGTTATAATTTAAATAAAATACTAAACAAATTTGCATAACCATAATTTAATTTTTATTTTCTTGAAAGTAATTATAAGAGATATTACATAATATTCCCATCAAATAATTTATATTACAATTTTAATTTAATAATAAAATATTATTTAGAATTATTTAAAATTTTAAAATAATTTTATTTAAAAAATTATTATCCAACCAGTTAATATATATATATATATATATATATATACCATCAAATAATTTATATTACAATTTTAATTTAATGATAATATTTTAGTTAATGAAATCTTTTTACCAAAAGAAAGATAAAAATATTTTATTTAGAATTATTTAAAAATTTTAAAAAAAATATTATCCAACCTGTCAATATATATATATATATATATATATTGTTAGAAAACGAAACAGGTCGTATCATACAATCAAATTTATTTATTTATTTTATTTATATTTTCTTATTATATTATTAAACGTCACCAAATTTAAACCATGTATTTTATTTTTATTTTTTATTTATTATTTTTTTTAATGCGCTATATATATAAATATATGAAGGAAACTTAATTCTCTGAGCCTCATAGTTTTATCTATTTTTGTAATTAAAAAATTAAAAAAAAAAAATGGGAAGAGGCAAAGTTGAGGTGAAGAGAATTGAAAATCCGACAAGTCGGCAAGTGAGCTTCTCGAAACGTCGGAATGGCGTTTTGAAGAAAGCTTATGAGCTGGCGGTTCTCTGCGACGCCGAGGTCGCCGTCGTCATCTTTTCCCCCTCCGGCAAGGCCTACCAGTTCTCCAGCCATGAGTTCCTACTTCTTTTTCTCTTTATTTATTTATTTATTTATTTATTTATATATTTATATTTCCGAGCTTCTTAATAATTATTAGATACAAAATTGAAATATATTTACGCTCGGTGTGTGTTTGGTTTAATTTTGCGACAGCATAGATGGAACCCTAGCTAGGTACAGAAAGTACGTTGGGCAATCACAATTCAACCATCCGCTTTCACGAGCTCTGGTATTTAGTTAGTTAATTGATTCTATATTTTGATTTCGACTAAGGTTGTTCGAAAAATTCGATGATTGAACAACCCTATGGATTTCATTCAAATAAATGAAAGTAGATACTCCTGGAATTCCCGACGATGTCTAGGTTTGCATTAGAAATGGTCGATATGGAGAACAAAAGAATCCCCCGTTTCATCATGGGTCTTCTCGAAGACATCAAGGGTTAGTAATGACCCACTTCATAACCGCTTCAATTTTGATGAGATCTAACTGATATACCTTTTTTTTTGTCCCTTGGATGTTTTCGTGAAGACCGATGATGAAACAAAGGGTTATTTTCTTCTTTATGTCGACCATTCGATTGCGAATTTGGAAAGCATGGTGAACTCCAGGTCGTATCGTACTACTCTATCATCTTATATTGTTGTTTAATGCTCTAGGAATGTCTCTTGGTTTTTTATACATATATAAATAAATAAATAGATAGTTTACCTATTAACATTTTACTTTATTTGTGAACTAACTCAATTCAAATATTTTATTATTGGGTTAGGTTTGATAGTAAAAATTACTATAGTTTGGAAAAAATAACAATCCGAATAAATGGATTGAATCTAATGCCCTAATCCAACTCGACCCAACTCATAAACGCCCTATATAGTTTGAAAAATATTGAGTTTAAGAGCTTAAAGTCTTAGAAATTCAACCCGACCCAACTCATAAACGCCCGGTATAGTTTGAAAAATGTTGAGTTTAAGAGCTTAAAGCCTTAGAAACCTAACCCGACCCGAATCATAAAAGTTCATTATTAATATTGAATGGTAGGTTTGGAAGAGCGAGATGGAGGACATGAACAGATCAATAAGCAGCTTAGAGGCAAGATTAAGGTACATTTAAATTTGAACTATAATATTTAACTATTTAACTTTATTAAAATAATAATAATAATAAGTTACAGACATTTTTCTGGTGAGGATCTCGAGCCGTTGACAATTAAGGAGTTAAAACGGTTAGAAAGACAATTAAGCGTCGGAATCGAACGTGTCCGCTCTAAAATGGTAAATCGTAGCTAATAAATCCTTAAATTAAATAGTTTAAAAATTTATTAAACACTTTTTAAATTTTATTTTCGACAGAGACGAATCATATCAGAACATACAAGTCAGCTTAAGAAGAAGGTAAAATCATCGATTTTTACTGTGAGATTCTTATCGGTTATAGTTAAAATTTAACTGTTG